GGGCTCCCTGTTCTGGAATGCACAACCCATGATGTCTGAGCCAAGCTTCCCTCTTCATGGGCTGGGCAGAGCTGGGTGGAGTGGTGGCTCTGGGCCTTGGCTATAGACCTTCCAGCTTCCATGAGGAAATACTTAGGGTGTCCTCTGATGCCATCTGAAGCAATTTCAAGATTACATCCCCCATGGAGTTGGAACTGCCGTCTCAGTGAACTGAAATTGCTTCTAGACCAAAGATTATAGCCAAGATCCTGTCTCTGGAGCTGTAGACATTTCCTCTGATGTTAATGGTCAAGATGAGCCCTATTTTATGGTCACTATATATATATTTTTTCTTTCTTTTTGAGACAGAGTCTCACTTTACTGCCCTGGGTAGAGTATCGTGGCATCCTAGCTCACAGCAATCTCAAACTCTTGGGCTGAAGCAATCCTCTTGCCTCAGCCTCCCAAGAAGCTGGGACTACAGGTGCCTGCTACAATACCTGGCTAGTTTTTCTATTTTTTAGTAGAAACAAGGTCTTGCTGTTACTCAGGCTGGTCTCAAGCTCCTGAGCTCAAGCAATCCACCCACCTCAGCCTCCCAGATCTTTAGGATTTCCAGATGGATGGTCTCTGCTCATGTCCCTGGGTTAAGAAATACCTAGTTCTTTCCTTAATTTTAATCTATGGGCCCCATTCTGCTTGCTTCACCATGAGATTATGTTCAACAAGTCTACTGACAACTTAGAGCAGGGGTCCTCAAACTTTTTAAACAGGGGGCCACTTCACTGTCCCTCAGACCATTGGAGGGCCAGACTGCAGGCCCCAGGACGAGTTGGCTGCTAAGCAGGACAGGCAGCCGCGGCAAAAACACCCAGCAGGCCAGATAAATGTCCTAGGCAGGCTGCATGTGGCCCGCGGGGCCATAGTTTGAGGACGCCTGACTTAGAGTAACAACAGAGGGCAATTCTTCAAAGACAACTACTTTATTCTGGAATGAACAGAAGGATTTGCAAATCCAGGGACACACAGGCCATAGTACCCCAGGGTAGGGGACATGGGCATACCCAGGGAGATAAAGGAAAGCAGAGGTTATTAAAGGCAAAATGAGGAGGATTGCATGAGTTGTTTGAACTTTTGACCATTGGTTACAAAAATTAACAATAAGTGTGGCATTAGCCCAAGAACGAGGAGGCAGTTGCTGGGCAGATGTCCTCATAGAGATGGCTTTGTCAAACTGTGAGTCTTTCTTGGTGCATGGTTGTGGTTTGGTGGAATTCCTTTCAATAGCTCCTGTTATCAGGGAAATTTGTGTGAGAGAGCACCGTCTTGACCTCCTGGCTCCATTGAGTTTGGTTTTGACGTAGGTGATTTCCATTTTGATACTGACAACTTTCACACTGCCAATGTTCATTCTGCGTTCTTATCAGGGAAGCCCCCTCATAGCGGCCACAGCCCTTATTACTTGGGTTGTACATCTCACAGTGGTTTTGTCCTAGCTGTCAAGCTGAATAGTTATGCTAGTAAAGGGAAGAAAAATCAGGAGAAGGGGAGATGTAAACTAAAATAAAACCCTAAGCACACAGCCCCCCTACTGCTGAACAGACTCCTTCTTGGCCAACGGAAGGATACTGTAGGAAAACTAAACAGAGTTTCTGGGCAAGCAAAGGGAGGGGAGATTATAGACACTTCAAACAGTAAGATACCAAATTATTAACAGGACCTAAGGCCATTCAGGGCAAAATTTAAGTCACCTGCTGGCTATCAATTTGCCTGAGCTCACTTGAGCTGATATGTGCCAGTGTGTGCCCTGTGGCTAATATTATTACAAATCTAAGGATTTGGAAATGTTATTGGATGAAGAGGTTCTGGCCACCTGTCAGGGTCAGCCAAATGCAGAGACAGGGGTTAAGTTCAATAAGCTTTATTGTCAGAAGGCCAGCTCTGGAGAACAGCGTCTCTCAAAGACTGTTCTGCCTTAGTTACAATTCTAATAATTTTTTTTTTTAATTTTGCCTTCAGTTGGTTTTCAATCTTCTTAGTTTGAAGGGTTTTTTTGTTTTGTTTTGTTTTTTGCTTTCTTTCTTTATTTTTTATGGAGACAGAGTCTCACTTTGTGGCCCTCAGTAGAGTACCTTGGAGTCATAGCTCACAGCAACCTCCAACACTTGGGTTTAAGTGTTTCTCTTGCCTCAGCCTCCCAAGTAGCTGGGACTACAGGCACCTGCCAGAACACCCAGCTATTTTTTGGTAGAGATGGGGTCTCACTCTCGCTCACGCTGGTCTCGAAGCTCTGAGCTCAGAGCAATCCACCCTCCTTGGCCTCCCAGGGTGCTAGGATTACAAGCGTGAGCCACCACACCCGGCCAATTCTAATAATTTTCATAATGAAATACAAGGAAACAAATGGAGAAAACTTCATCTGACAGGAAACATCAAAATAGTCTTTATTCTAACAATGTAACAATACTTAAACAGCATAAAAGTAAGTTTCACTTTAATAATATAGTAATAAAAGTAACCTTTACTCTAGTATTTAAAAGTAACCTTTAACACAGGAACTGTATTAAAGGGCCGGCATTAGGAAGGTTGAGAACCACGGCTTTAACGGAATCATCAGAGAACAACAACAAAGGAACAATACTTAGCGTCTTTGTATGACTACCTCCACTCAAGCCTTTTGAGATAAGTATCCTCATAACCTTGGTAAAATCTTAGCTAGATAATCATGGAAGATTTGTGGGAAAGAATGTGGCTAAGCAGAGTAGGCCAGCTGTACTGTTTCAGCTTAGCTTCTCAGACTCCATCTTGTAGGCCACTTTTCTGGCTTCAAACCCACCCATAACCTATAAGCACCTCCCCTTCAAGATGTCCTGCCTTTTAGACCAGACCAATGAACATCTCCCGGGTCTTGAGTTATGATTTTACATGTAATTCTTGTCTCCATGAACATATAACACCAACTGTAACCCAGCTGCCCCAGGCACATTTTCTCAGGACCTCTTGCGGCCGGATTATTTGGTCCAGTGGTCACATATATTCGGTTCAGAATAAACCTCTTTAAATTATTTCTACTGAGTTTGGAGTTTTTCCCATTAACAGAGGTTCCAGAATTAAAATGACAGAAAATAACTTTAATCAAGTAGGAGTTGTCCCAAGTGTCAAATGTTAAAAGGTTAAACTCTGGGGTGGCGCCTGTGGCTCAAGGAGTAGGGCACCAGCCCCAAATGCTGGAGGTGGTGGGTTCCAACCCAGCCAAAAACTGCAAAAAAAAAAAAAGTTAAGTTGGGCGGCGCCTGTGGATCAAAAGGGTAGGGCACCAGTCCCATATGCTGGAGGTAGTGGGTTCAAACCTAGCCCTGGCCAAAAAAACAAAACAACAACAACAACAACAACAACAACAACAACAAAACTTAAAAAATAAAAATGTAAATAAAGGTTAAACTCTGTTTGAGCTTTGACTCCTCCCCTGAGCCACTGGATGAATGGCCCTGCCTCAGTTTCATCATCTGCAGAATCAGATCATAATCCCGAGCCATATAGGGGGTGATTATAAAATTCTAGTCCCATGGAGAAGTAAATGCATTGCAAACTGTAGCATGTGGTTCCTGTGTAGTCATGCTTCTGTTCCTCCCTAAAAATCTCATGTGTGTGGCCAAGTACAGAGGAGGTAGGGTGGCCATGACACCCCATGGGCATTCATTTGTGCAAGATGAAACTGGCTGCAGTGGAAGGCTCAGGCTGGCCTCTCTCTGTGGTCCAGCCCTACCCTCAGGGGCTTCTCCCTGGGGCAAAGCAGAAAAGGCCAACAATAGACCAGCTGCATGACCTACTAGCCAGGGCACTGGCAGTAGACTTAGGCCCCTCCCCACAGGCCATGGGAGTAGAAAAGGGGCAGTGGACCCTGCCAGGGAGGATGCTGGAGGGCTTCTCAGAGGAGGCAATGCCAGATTTGGGCTTTAAAGAATGAACGTGATTTTTCCCAATGGTGGAAGCAGGTGCTCAGGACAGAAGAACCTGTGGGAAGCCACATGGGTGTGGCCTTCAGCAATGGCAATGCAGTAAGTATGCAATAAGTACCTGGTATGCATGGAAGCCTGTGTTAATGCTGATGGCACCTAAACGTCAGGTATGGGGCTGCTCCTCTACATGGGTCAACAGGGAAGGTGGGACGGACTGAGGGTGTTGTGGGCAAGCAGCATGTTTGGTTGGTCAGTTTGATCGGTCAGTTTGATCTTGAGTTTCATAGTAGTTGTGACTTTCAGTTTCCTTTTCAGGTTCCCAAGAGTACCCAGGAGCCCAGAGATAAGCCTGGTTATTATGCAAATGCACAGCTAGCAGCTGGATCCAAACAGCTAAGAAGAGCTGGATCTTGTTCTCACTCAGCCAGGAGAGGACTCCTTGGTAAGTTGGGGATGATCCAACCTCCCCCCACCTCCTTACAACAGCTCTGTAAGAAAAGGATTTTTGTCCCCATTTCCTAGATGAGCTCATAGAGGCCCAAGGTTAAGCAGTGGCAGAGCCTGGATTTGCCGCCAGGTTTTGTGTTTGACCTCTCCCTCCTGTCCCTGGGCCCCTGAACAGCAGAGAGGGAAGGGAGGTTCACAAAGACAGGTTCACAGAGCTCCCGGGCTCAGCTCCTGTCCCCACTTCCTGAGACATGCCCAGGTGACTCCAGGAGGAAGGTAGATGTTGGGGGCTCCCATCCCTTTGGGAAATTTGGGGGAACGAAAAGAGGTGGAGGAGGGGAGGTAACTGAGAGCCCAGCCAATTGTCCTGTGGCCTGGCCACCCTGAGGCTGGCCCAAGTGTGCTGCTGCTGAGGCCTGATAGGGGCAAGGGTTTCTGTTGAGATATAAGGAGTGTGGGAAAGGAATTCTCATAATCCTGACAGGAGCACAGCCATTTTAGAAAATCAGGTCAGGGCTCGGCGCCTGAGGCTCAAGTGGCTAAGGTGCCAGCCACATACACCTAAGGTGGCTGGTTGGAATCCAGCCTGGGCCCACCAAACAACAATGATGGCTGCAACCAAGAAATAGCTGGGCGTTGTGGTGGGCACCTGTGGTCCCAGCTACTTGGGAGGCGGAGGCAGGAGACTCACTTGAGCCCAGGAGTTGGAGGTTGCTGTGAGCTGTGATGCCACTGCACTCTACCCAGGGGGATTAGCTTGAGGCTCTGTCTCAAAAAAAAGAAAATCAGGTCAGAAACCAGCAGTTCCCCTCACTCTAGATTCCTGGAGTGCCTCAAGACTAGAGTTCCTAGAAATATCCTACCCATATTCTGGCCCATAATCCTAACCCTAAAGACATGCCCACAATCTTGACCAGGACTAGAGAAGAGCCCAGGAGGTACTTTGGACTCAAGGCCCCTTTCCAGCTCTACTTATAAGGTAATAAAAGCCTTCTGTGACTGTGTGGGAGCAGAGCTTACACCTGGTCAGTCTCCATTCTCCCTTTCCCCTTATTAGAGTCTTTCCTTGTCCCTGGCCTGGCCTCCTCTCCTTTCTTGCAGACCCTCACCCAGGTTCTATGCCAGAACCTCTCAACTTTATCCCTAAAGGAAGAAGAAAGCTTGGACATAGGGGGCCCCAGACCACTTGCCATTGTAGTTATGAAGTTTGAAGGTCACTGAGAATGTGTAAATACCATTCTCAGGATATTGCTTTCCATTACCTAGTGTGTGCTGGGGTGAGGCACTGTTGTGGAGGGATCATTTTTTTTTTTTGAGACAGAGCCTCAAGCTGTCCCCCTGGGCAGAGTGCCGTGGCATTACAGCTCACAGCAATCTCCAACTCCTGGGCCCAAGTGAGTCTCCTGCCTCTGCCTCCCAAGTAGCTGGGACCACAGGCGCCCACCACAACGCCCGGCCATCTTTTGGTTGCAGCCGTCATTGTTGTTTGGCGGGTCCGGGCTGGGGACTCGAACCCGCCACCTTAGGTGTATGTGGCTGGCGCCTTAGCCAGTTGAGCCATAGACGCCGAGCCGGAGGGATCATTTTGGTCTGATGACTCCTTTTAAACCCAGGCTGCCCAGGACTTTTTTTTTTTTTTTTGAGACAGAGTCTCACTATGTTGCCCTCAGTAGAGTGCCATAGCATCATAGCTCACAGCAATCTCAAACTCTTGGGCTTAAGTGATTCTCTTGCCCAGCCTCTCAAGTAGCTGGGACTACAGACGCCCACCACAATGTCCGACTATTTTTTTGTTGCAGTTGTCATTGTTGTTTAGGTGGCCTGGGCTGGGTTCGAACCTGCCATCCTCGGTATATGTGGCTGGTGCCATAACCACTGTGCTACAGGTGCCAGGCCAGCTGCCCAGGATCTTTGAGGAGACAGTTCAGTGGCCTGTCTTAGAAGGGGACAGAATAGGAACTGCCATGGTGTGTGAAGTAAGGAGGAGGAATAGGGTGGCTCACCCTCGGAGCCGAGAGGACAAATTCCTATGCCGGAACCTCTCATCTTTATGGTATGTTGGCCAGGAGAGACAGCAGTGAGGCCAGTCCAGGGACCCCCCCCCCCAGACCCTTATCATGGCCCTCCTTCTGACCACTACTGCACACTGATGAACTAGGACTTGGTAAGTTGGAGAAAGGGGCTCCTCCACCTCCAAGACTACTGCTCCTCCTCTGTTCACTTGATCCTCCAAAAATCCGGTAAGTCAGGATTTCCCCCAGGATCTGGGATCAGTTTCCCCACTCCCCAAACACCTTCCCTTGGGGATGTCTGAGGGACAGGTTTGAGATTCTCTAACCTCCATTTAATGGGTTCCTCCTAGAGACAAAAAGGAACAAGACTTTTCTTTTCTTCTTTTTTTTTTTTTTTTGGTGAGACAGAATCTCATTTTTTTTTTTTTTTTTTTTTGCAGTTTTTGGCCAGGTGCTGGGGGTTTGAACCCACCACCTCCAGCATATGGGGCCGGCGCCCTACTCCTTTGAGCCACAGGTGCCACCCCAGTCTCATTTTTTGCCTTCGGTAGAGTGCCATGGAGTCATAGCTCACAGCAACCTCAAACTCCTGGGCTCAAGCAATTCTCTTGCCTCAGCCTCCCTAGTAGGTGGGATTACAGGCACCCACCACTACGTCTGGCTATTTTTAGAGACGAGGTCTTGCTCTTGCTCAGGCAATCCACCTGCTTCAGCCTCCCAAAGTGCTAGGATTACAGGCATGAGCCACCGCACTCAGCAGGAACAAGACATTTTGTGTGCTTTCAAAGGAGCCACCAGTACAATAAGGAAATGGCCTCCTTCTCCTCGAAGTCCCTGGCAGCAGGGTGTAGGGAACCTGGAGGGAGCTGGACTGGGGACCCAACCCCAGGGGAGGGGCAGCTTCAGAATGATGTTGTCAAGGCAGGACCGTTATTCAGACTTCAACTGGGATCCTTGGTTTTCTTTCTCCTCGTATAAAAGTGTTAATGCTGGAGGGAGGACACACAAGGACATAGGCAGAAACTCAGAAAACTGACAGAACTGTCAAAAAGCACATTAAATCAGAGGAGTAATCTGAGTGAAATCTAAGTCACAGTTTTCTTTGTTTTCTACCAGAAAAAGCTGCTCACAAAGATAGCAAAGCTAAGCGGATGCAATTGCTCAGCTACAGGTGAAGTTGAGGCCGCGCTGTGCTGTCGGAGGCTGGTTGCTTTTAGGTCCAAGTAATGCCTCCCACGGATTCCAGCTAGGCTGTGTCAGAGAGGGTGGGGGGAATCGATACCCCAGGGCCCAGCAGGTCGCTGCAAATAAGGGGGAGGCAGGAGCCCAAAGAACTGCAACACAGCGCCACACCGGGTAAGCGGGAAGGTCAGGGGTCCCAGGCAGGGACTGGGAAGCTAGGAGGGACAAGTAGCTTTGGAGCTGGGCCTCTAAGCACAGGTATTACTCTTACACTGGGAAGCAGAGGAAAAGCTCTTGGTGTCAGGGAGGCTGAGGGTGCAGTGGGGAGATGTTCAGGTACCTGGAACCCAGTACCCCAGTGATTGAGGCAAGAAATGGGGAGGAGGGGAAGCAGCAGGGCATCAGGAGGGCCTGTGTGCTGGGCTGAGGGGTTTGAACTTAACCCTTGTAGGTCATTGCATCTTCCTCTTAACCCTTCCTTTCCTTCCCAAGGGAAGCTGCTTTGCTGAGAATCTCTGTCCTGCTGCCTTGGGAGGCTCAGGCCAGAGCCAATGGGTGAGGTGTTCCCCCTCTGCTGCTCAGCTGGACAGGGCCAGGTAGCTCAGGTGCCACCCGCACTTTCTCAGGCACCCATGGCCTTTCTGGGAATTGACTGACCTGCAGCCTCAGCCCCAGAAGACTGGTCATGTACTAGTCAAGCAGGAGGGCAACACCCTGCTAAGGTTCCCCACAAGGGTCAGTGCCAGGGCAGGAATGATGAAGAAGGGCGGGATCCACGGTGCAGGCTGGGGCCATCCCCGCTCTCCTGCCCTCCCCACTCTCCTGTGCTCAGTGCTGCCTTTTAACCCTTCTGGCTTAGGATTTCAGGAAGGCTGCCCAGCCCTAGGGACTGGGGAGCCCAGCATCCAGCTCCCCATCACACTTGCCCTCCTACAGCAGGAAACCCCCAGAAGCCCTTCAGCAGACTGCCCTGCTGCTTCATTGGTCAGTACTGGGTCCCCCAGTCACCCACTGGATGAGGACTCTGGAAGACACATCCTGGGTGCTTGGTCCCTAAGATGAGTGACAGCAAGCGGGGAGTGGGAGATGGGAGTGGAGACGGTTTGCATGAGAGCTGGTGGATGGAAAAGTATGGGGGTGCCATGGGGACTACTTTGTTGTGACAAACACCGGCAGCTGGAAATGGATGTGCCAGCTGTGGATGTGCCACAGTGGCTTGGAAAGAAAGGGACCTGCGTGGAGTATCCCTATCTTTGGTGGGCCTTCTAGGGGCGCTCACCACTATTTGTTGTTTCCTCTTCAAAGGTTTATCTCTATTGTCAGTGCTCTCCAGCCCCAGGCCACCAGGACACCCCTGTAGTCCTCTGAATGTGTTGAGTTTAGTGTATGTGCTGCCGAAGTGAGCACGAACGTGCTGAGTTTAGTGACGGTGAATACACACCATGGAGCTCCTTGGGCACCTCAGTACGAGGGTGTAGGGTGGAGCCTATTATAGGAGTCGGGCTGGAGTTGGGTGCTGGGCAGGAGGGTCTAAGGAAACACAGCCCACTCTAGATTGGGTGCTGCAGGCAGTGGGGTGAGCCGACCAGAGGGATACTTCCTTATCCGTGGACAGGAAGACCAAGGACAAAGCTGTACTTGGTAAAGAAGTAACAGGCATTTGTTCCTTTTAGTGTTTGGTATTTTGTGGGTGGCACAGAGACCTTGTTTTTGTCTGTGCTTAGGCAAAATTATGAAGTGGCCTTGCCCCATTATGGTCTCAGAACCACCCTTTCTGAGGGATAATCTGCAAGATTATTTATGTCCACAGGAGAATAATGTGACCTTCCTGAGAGTCCATGCCAGCCTCCAAATGTCAGCAGCTGCTCTTTTTTCTTACTCAGTACTTATGAAAAGGCATATAAACAATAAATGACCACTCAAAGTGGTTTTTTTTTTTTTTTTGAGACAGAGTCTCACTATGTTGTCCTGGGTAGAGTGCTATGCTGTCACAGCTCACAGCAACCTCAAACTCTTGGGCTTTAGTGATTCTCTTGCCTCAGCCTCCCATCAAATTGGTTTTGATTTGCATTTTTCTGGTAATTAGAGACAAATGACCATTTTTCGTGTTTGTTGGCCATTCATCTGTCCTCATGAGAAAAGGTTCTGTTCATGTCTTTCTCCCAGTTTTTAATGGGGTTGTTTGCTCTTTTCTTATTGGTTTGCTGGAGTTTTTTGTAAAATCTGGTTATTGCCCTTTGTCATATTTGTAGCATGCAAGTATCTTCTCCTATTCTGAAGGTTGTCTCTTTGCTTTGTGTCCTTAGCTATGCAAAAAAAAAAATTTAACTCAATAAGGTGCCATTTATTTGTTTTTATTGTAGCTACAATTGCAAGTGGGGTCTTCTTCATAAATTCTTTTCCTAGGCCAATAATATTCAGAGTTTTTCCCACACTTTCTTCTGGAGTTTTTATAGTTTCATGGTACAATTTATTTGCATAACAGAGTGGCTTTCAGTAGGAAAACTTTTAAAAATATTGATAACCTCTGACTTAGTCATTCTACTTCCAGAAATAGCCTAAGGAAACAATATCAAAGTTTCAGTGGCTCACACCTCCAATTCTAACACTCTGGGAGGCCAAGACAGGGGGATTGTTTGAGGTCAAGCGTTCAAGATAAGCCTGGGCAACATAGTGAGACCCTTTCTATGCCAAAATAAAAATTAAAAAATTATCTGAGTGTGGTGGTGCACACCTGTAGTCCCAGTTACTCAGGAGACTGAGTAGGGAGGATCACTTGAGCCTAGGAGTTTGAGGTTGCCGTGAACTGGGATTTTGCCACTGTACTTCAGCCTGGGCAACAAAGACTCTGTCTTAGGAAGGGGAAGGAGAAGAGGAAGGGGAAAAGGAAGAAGAGGGGGAGGAAGAGGAAGAGAAGGAAGAGGAAGAATTAGAGGAATGAAAGAGAAAGAAGAGGAGGAAGGGGGGGAGGAAGTAGAGGAGGAGGAGGAGAAGGGGAAACAATCTAAGGCCCAACAGCTAGTGGAGCAGAACAGAGAGGCTGGGCAGCTCCAGGGGCCACAGCAAAGGCTGGGCCCTCTGGCAGGGTCCAGGCTGTGGTGGGATGAAAGGCTCTCCAGCACAGCTCATGTAAACTCACCACGTCAGAGACCTGGGCACAGTGTGCAAGATATGGTTTTGTAATGAGAAGAGTCATCTACGATAAATGTATATACATGAATAAATATTTTTGTGTATTTAAGTGAGTAGAGTAATCCCATTGAAAACATAGGATTTGAATCAGAAAGACTGGCATTGAGTCCTCACTCAAGCACTATTGTGAAAATTCAGGCAAGTTACCTAACTTTCATAATTTCCTCTACTTAGAAATGGAACCACAGGCTCGGCACCTGTAGCTCAAGTGGCTAAGGCACCAGCCATATACACCAGAGCTGGTGGGTTCGAATCCAGCAGCCTGGGCCTGCCAAACAACAACAACTACAACGAAAAAATAGCTGGGCTGTAGTCCCAGCTACTTGGGAGGCAGAGGCAAGAGAATCGCTTAAGCCCAGGAGTTGGAGGTTGCTGTGAGCTGTGATGCTACAGCACTCTATGCAGGGCGACAACTTGAGGCTCTGTCTCAAAAAAGAAAAAAAAGAAAGAAAGAAATGGAGCCCCAATTATATCCATCTCGTGGAGTGTGTGATGATTTACTGAGGGACACGTAAGGAGCACTGCACATCATGGACACTCAATAAATGTTAGATTAGGGAACACCAGTGCTCCCAGCCCCAGGTAACTGTCGGAACATTCGCTGTTCTACTTTTTTCTGTGCATAGATTCTGTTGTTTCTATAATTATCAGATGGGTGTCTCCTCATACCCCAACAGGACGAGAAGACTACCTTGGGTGGGGGCAGAGGAAGCTGCAGTGAAGTAACTCTCTTTTTTTTTTTTTTTGAGACAGAGCCTCAAGCTGTCCCCCCTGGGTAGAGTGCTGTGGCATCACAGCTCACAGCAACCTCCAACTCCTGGGCTCAAGCGAGTCTCCTGCCTCCGCCTCCCAAGTAGCTGGGACCACAGGCGCCCGCCACAACGCCCGGCTATTTTTTGGTTGCAGCCATCATTGTTGTTTGGCGGGTCCGGGCTGGGGATTCGAACCCACCACCTTAGGTGTACGTGGCTGGCGCCTTAGCCGGTTGAGCTATAGGCGCCGAGCCGTAACTCTCTTTAAATAGCAGCTGGCAGAGCCAGAGACAGAAGCACGTTGGGTTAAGTCCGTTTTGGCATTTGCTGCCACCCCAGCGGGAATTGCCGAAGACCTGGCCCTTCGTCCCTCGCTCTTGCCACAGCTGGCTCACATTTCCTCCTAAAATTTGTTTTCTCTTCCCCAAGGGTGAAGCAGAACCTTCCAGCCTGGGCACACACTGGGGAGCTGTAAGGAGAACTCTCAGAGACAGCACTGCTGGCACCATGGCCTGCCCAGGTAGTCACGCTTCCTCCTCTCTGGCTACCCATGACCTGGAACAGAGGGTGGCACCTCCCAGGCTGAGTTAACTGGCAGAGGAATCAAGAACTGAGAAAGAGGTTGATGAGTGTGCCCGAGCCCGGGACAGACCGAGCAGAGTCTCCCCACCAGGGGTCTGAGGGTCATCACTGTCCTGGCCCTGTTCTCAGGGACATCCTTTCAGAAGTGGAGGACAGCAGGAGTAGGCAGTGGGGGAGGAGAGAAAGGGACAAAAGGTCAGGGACTGGAGGGGAGCGTAGGCAGAACAGCAACCCTGACCTTTCACCTCCCTGACAGCTGCTCCCAGCTGACCCTGGGGCGTTACCCACAGCAACTGGGTCCCTCCTGCTCTTGTCCTGTGGCCAGCCCAACTGCTCTGAGTGACTCAGAGGGAGGATTCGCTCAAAATGTCTCCCTGGGGGCGGCGCCTGTGGCTCAAAGGAATAGGGTACAGCCCCATATGCTGGAGGCCGGGTGTTCAAACCCAGCCCTGGGCTAAAACTACAAAAACAAAAACAAAATGTCCCCCTGATGTCAGATCCCATCTGTGTTACCTGGAGCGCATATCCTCAGCAATGACATGGGACTAATATTCCCCGTGTTGTTATAAGGATCAAATATAACCTGTGTACATGGCCTGCCCCACAGAAGTCCAGTGTTGGTTCTCCCCTTCACTGGGAACCTGTTCATTGCAGGTGGAAGTTCCTCCCCCACCCCCCCCCAGCTGTGTTTAGGGCCCTTGCTATGCTGACAGCCCTAAGCACCTGCTCCCCAGGTATGACTGCCTCAGGCAGGGACCGATTCTAACTCTCTCAAATACCCCTTGTAAAAGAAAAATCTAAGGGATCAGGAAAGGTTAACGTTTTGTTTTGTTTTTTAAGAGACAGAGTCTCACTCTATCGCCCTAGGTAGAGTGCCATGGAGTCACAGCTCACAGCAACCTCCAACTCCTGGGCTTAGGCGATTCTCTTGCCTCAGCTTCCCAAGTACTGAAATGTTAAAGTTTTTACTTGAGTCAGAAGCAATTCATGAATTGGGAAACCCTAGACCCAGAAAATATGTTGGGTATAACAGTGACAGGGCTCTCGAGGCAGGTATTTAGAGGGCGTGGATGGAATAAGGAAATTATTTGATTGATTGCAGGTATAGAATTGCCTTTTTTGGTTCACGTTGCTGGAAAGTTCCTGGTTACATAGCCACCTGATAGTTAGCAGCCCAGGACTGGCTAACGTTAAGTTTTGTTTCTAACACAAACATTCATCACGAATGACCCAAGTTATGTTTCACATATGTTTGCAGTTTAAGCAAGGTTAAAGCTGTTTTAGTTGGTTTTCTTCAGCCAGGAATTTCTTGGGCCTGGTCTCTATTTTAATTTTGCTTTAACACCCCGCAGAGACACCCCCTCCATCAAAAAATATGTAGAATTAGTGCGGTAGGTTCCCTCCATCCAAGCCCTATTTTCCCTCCTCCTCTTAGCGAAGAAGGAAAAAGGAAAAAAAAAGCCTCCACCCATCCTAATCAACTCTAAGCTCATTTCCCTATGGCCTGTTTTTTCAGGGCTTTCTTTTCCTCACTGAATTGCCTTGAGAACAAAGCCAAGTCTTCTCAGGAGCCACCCCAAGATAGGAAGGGAGATTGGGAGTTTTGTTTTAATTTCAGAATATTATGGGGATACAAAGGGTATAGATCCGTGGTTCTCAACCTTCCTAATTGCCGTGTTGTTACAAATGGAAAAAAGGGGTTGAGACCCACAGGTTGAGAACCGCTGGTATAGATGTTTGGGTTACATTAGTTGTTTTTGTACAGTTTGAGTCGAAGTAATAATCGTGCCCATCGCCCGGATAGTGGGCTTTGTACCTGCTAGGTGGAATTTTTCCCCTCCCCTCCTGACCCTTCTTGCTTGCTTTTTGTTGAGTTTTATTAAGACATGCATGAATAGCCGGGCGTTGTGGCGGGCGCCTGTGGTCCCAGCTACTTGTGAGACAGAGGCAGGAGACTCGCTTGAGCCCAGGAGTTGGAGGTTGCTGTGAGCTGTGATGTCACAGCACTCTATCCAGGGGGACAGCTTGAGGCTCTGTCTCAAAAAACAAAATCTTCTGTTTAATTCTTTCTTTCTTTTTTTTTTTTTTGAGACAGAGCCTCAAGCTGTCCCCCTGGATAGAGTGCTATGGCATCACAGCTCACAGCAACCTCCAACTCCTGGGCTCAAGCGAGTCTCCTACCACAGCCTCCCAAGTAGCTGGGACCACAGGCACCCACCACAACGCTCAGTTATTTTTTGGTTGCAGCCGTCATTGTTGTTTGGCGGCCCGGGCTGGATTCAAACCTGCTACGTTAGGTGTATGTGGCTGGCACCTTAGCCACTTGAGCCACAGACACCGAGCCTGTTTAATTCTTTCATTATCGCATTCATTTAGTTCTCCTCTGACCTTAGTCATGTCTTTTCTTCCTCTAGGTTTGGGATTGGTTTGATCTTTCTTTTCTAATTCCTTGAGATGATTCATTAGATTGTTGATGTGTGATCGGTCTGGTTTGTTGTTTGCTTTTTTTTTTTTTAATGTAGGCATTTAAAGCTATCAATTTTCCTCTTAGGACTGCTTTTGCTGAATCTCACAGATTTTGATAACTTGGGTGCCCTTCATCATTAGTTCAAAAAACCTTACGATTTCTACCTTAATTTCCTCCTAGACCCAACAGTTATTTAACAGTAGATTTTGTAAATTTCCATGACTTTGTGTAGAATTAAGTATTTCTGTTAGAGTCAGTTTCTAATTTTATTCCACTGTGCTCTGAGAAGATACATGGTATAATTTCTATTTTGTTGAACTCATTGAGAAATTTTTTGTGGCCTAAGATGTGATCAATCTTTGAGAATGTTCTGTGTGTGCTGCTGAGCAGAACATATATTTAGTAGTTTTTTTAGTAGAATGTTCTATAAACATCTGTTAGGCCCATTTTCTCTATAGTCTCATTTAAGTGCTATATTTCTTTATTTTCTATTTGGAGAATGTGTCCAGTTCTGTCAGTGAGGTGTTGAAGTCCCTAGGTATTATGATGTTGCTGTTCATGACTTGTTTAGATCTAGTAGGGCGTTTGATTTAGCAATCTGGGTGCACCTGTGTTACATTCATAAATATTTAGAATTGTTAGGTCTTCTTTTTGAATTATTCCCTTTACCATTATATAGTGACCATCTTTGTCTTCTTTAAATTTTGTTGCTTTGTAGTCTATGTTATGTGAGAATGGCTACACGAGCTTTCTTTCGATTTGCATTCACATGGAATATTGTTTTCTATCCTTTCACTTTGAGTCTGAATGAATCCTCTCATATTAGATGCATTTCCTAGAGGTAGCATGTAGTTGGCTTATATATTTTTTTCCATTCAGCCAGCCTACATCTTTTTTTTTTTTTTTTTGGCCAGGGCTGGGTTTGAACCTGCCACCTCTGGCATATGGGGCCAGTGCCCTACCCTTGTGAGCCACAGGTGCCACCCACAGCCTACATCTTTTGAGAGGAGAGTTTAACCCATTCATATTTATTGAAAGAATTGACAAGTGGGGTAGATTTCTGTTCATCCTGTTAAGTAGAACTTTAATGCTTTGCTTTACCTCTTAAGCTATTGTGATATCTGGGCTCTGATATCTGGGCACTTGTATAATTTTACACTGGTGGCTGTCTATTGTGCTGATCAGTACATAGTGCAGATCCAAGT